CGTTACGCATCACGACCAAGAGGGATTTATACCTGGAATGCAAAGCTGGTTCAACATCCATAAAACAATCAATGTAACTTATCACATCGATAAAAGAAAGGACAAGACCCACATGATCCTCTCAATAGATGCAGAGAAAGCATTTGACAAAATACAGCATCCTTTCTTGATAAAAACCCTCAAGAACGTAGGGATAGAAGGATCATACCTCGAGATCATAAAAGGCATATATGAAAGACCCGACACTAATATCATCCTCAAAGGGGTAGAACTGAGAGCTTTCCTCCTAAGGTCAGGAACAAGACAAGGATGTCCACTCTCGCCACTGGTATTCAACATAATATTGAAAGTCTTAGCCTCAGCAATCAAACAACACAAAGAAATAAAAGGCATCCAAATCATCCAGGAGGAGCTCAACATTTCACTCTTCATAGATGGCATGAAACTTTATGTGGCAAACCCACAATAGTCCAACAAAAAACTACTAGAAATAATACAGGAATTCAGCAAAGTGGCAGGATATAAAATCAATGCACAGAAATCTGTTGCATTCCTATGCACCAACAATGAAGCAAGAGAAAGAGAAATCAGGGAATCGATCCCATTTACAATTGCACCAAAACCCATAAAATACCTAGGAATAAATCTAACCAAATAGGTGAAAAATGTATACACTGAAAACTATAGAAAGCTTATGAAAGAAATTGCAGATGGCAAACACACAGAAAAGAAAAATATTGCATGCTCCTAGATAGGTAAAACAAATATTGTTAAAATGTCAATAGTATACAGAACAATCTACATAGTCAACACAATACCTATCAAAATAATACCATCATTCTTCACAGAGCTACAACAAAGAATCCTACAATTTGTATGGAACCAGAAAAGACCCTGAGTAGCCAAAGCTATCTTGAAAAAGAAAACCAAAGCAGGAGGCATCACAATCCTGGACTGTATTACAAAGCAGTAATCAATAAGACAGTATGGTCTTGGCACAAGAACAGACACTCAGATCAATGGAAGAGAATACGAACACAGAAATGGACCCAGAGACGTATGGCCAACTAATATTTGACAAAAAGGAAAGAATATCCAATGGAGTAAATACAGTCTCCTCAGCAAGAGTGCTGGGAAAACTGGACAGCGACATACAGAAGAATGAATCTGGACCACTTTCCCACACTCAAAATGGATGAAAGACACTCAAAATAGATGAAAGACCTAAATGTAACATAGGAAGCCATCAAAACCCTCGAGGAGAAAGCTGGCAGAAACCTCTTTGATGTTTGCTTCCACAACTTCTTAGTCAACAATTCTCCAGAGGAAAGGGAAACAAAAGCAAAAATGAACGATTAGGACCTCATCAAAATAAAAAGCTTCTGCACGGTGAAGAAAACAATCAGCAAAACTAAAATGTACCAACAGAATGGGAGAAGATATTGCAAATGGCATATGAGATAAAGGATTAGTATGCAAAATGTATAAAGAACATATCGAACTCAATACCCAAAAAAGAAGTAATCCAGTGAAGAAATGAGCAAAGACATAAGCAAACACTTTCCAAGGATGACATCCAGATGGCCAAATGAAACATGAAAAAATGCTCAACATCACTCATCATCATGGAAATACAAATCAAAACCACAATGAGATAACACCTCACCCCTGTGAGAATGGCTAACATTAACAACTCAGGCAACAAAAGGTGTTGGCGAGGAAGTGGAGAAAGAGGAACGCTTGCACTGCTGGCGGGAATGCAAACTGGTAGAGTCACTCTGGAAACCAGTAGGTAGGTTCCTCACAAAATGAAAAAGAGGACTACCCTACAACCCAGCAGTTGCACTGCTAGGTATTTATCCAAATGATACAGATATGCTATTTTGAAGGGAAAAGTGAACCCCAAAGTTATAGCAGCACTATCAACAACAGCTAAAGTATGGAAAAAGCCCAAATGTCCATCGATGGATGAATGGATAAAGAAGATTGTATACACAATAGAGTATTACTTAGCAATCCAAAAGAATAAAATGTTGCCATTTAAACTGCATGGATGGAAATAGAGGGTATTATGCTAAGTGAATTTAGTCAGAGAAAGACCAATATTATAGGACCTCACTCATATGAGGACTTTAAGATACAAAACAGATGAATATAAAGGATGGGAAGCAAAATAATATAAAAACATGGAGGGGGACAAAAACATAAAAAAACTCTTAAATGTGGAGAACAAACAGAGGGTTACTGGAGGGATTGTGGGAGGGCTGATGTGCTAAATGGGTAAGGGGCATTAAGTAATCTACTGAGATCATTGTCCCACATTATGCTACCTAACTTGGATGTAAATTTAAAAAATAAATTAACTAAAACAAAACAAAACAAAACAAAACAAAAAACTAACCCAGTGAATAAAAGACATCCCAACAGAATATTGTTGAAAAGCTTTGTCAGTCATGAGTCCCCACTAAGATTTGTACCTAAATGGCTTTCTTAATTTCCCTAGTTTCTCATAAATACGGACAATGTGCCCTGACACAAATCTACTCTTGCCCTGCCTCAAGGTGAGCAGAAAGATGATATTCACCTTTGACTTGGCTTGTTAAAAAGAAAAGAGAAAAGCAAATTCATTTGAGATAAAGCAACTTTTACTCATGATGCAAAATCTGCTTGACTACTTTGGACATAATATATTGCATTTATTTATGGCTGACTTTGCCAAAATTAGTGAATCTTTTAAAATGACCAAATATTTCACATTTCACTTAGTTGCAAACACACACACACACACACACACACACACACACACACACAGACAAATAGCATGAAACAAAAGTGAATAGGATATAACATAAATGCAGTAAGGACATAAAAGATTAGTTTTCCTATAAAAGGTAAAATAACTGCTTTGGGAACAGTTTTCCATTTGATAACTTCACAAGCAAATTTATATTGACTTCCAATTTATTAACCATTTTTAGAAATACTATGTTTAATGATAACTCTAAATACAAATGGGATTATTTTTCAGAAAGAGGGAAACATATTTTTCTCCTTAGTATATTAATTAAGCTGAAAACTGAAAGGACATCAGTTTTGTAAAAGACAATCCCAACAGACAACATTGTTGGTATCTGAACCATCATGTCAGTAAAAGTACAGTCAGTGAGGCTGTATCCTTGACTGAAAATCATGCACCATTTGTGGAGGGAACACCAGAAACTCTCCTCCAACATGATGATTGTCATTCAGGAGCTGTACTTTTTTTTATTTGATGAAATGGCATGTTCAAACTATCTTTATCATGACTCCAGTCTCTGGCTTTTTAAGTCCAGCTCAGTTCTAAAATGGTCTTAATTTATTTGCGTCGGGTAACTTCTCTTAATCCTGAATACCCAAATACAAGAGACCCCAAATTAATTTTTTGATCATTAAAGAAAATAGGTCTACCAAAACAACATATACCAAACCTTACTAGCTATGATAGTATGCTTACCTCTTCCAAGTTACTAAAAGATTACTGCTTGTTTTCAGCTTAATGGTCAACCTGGCATTTAATGGGAGCCTAGGGAAACAACAGTAATGTATGCTTGGAATTTCAGGCTATTTCTTTGTTTCAATCAGCAATCACTATAAATTTGTTATGGTCTACAGATTTATTCTAGACCTATTTTCTATGTTTAAGTTTATATTTGAGAGAGAGAGAGATAGAGCATGAGCCATGGAGGGGCAGAAAGAGGGAGACACAGAATCTCAATCAGGTTCCAGGCTCCCAGCTGCCAGCACAGAGCCCAAAATGGAGCTCAAAGTCATGAACAGTGAGATCATGACCTGTGCCAAAGTCAGATGCTTAACCAACTGAGCCACACAGATGCCTGTAGACCTATTTTAAATTTGCAAATTAACATCAGACTCCAAAAGTATTGACTATTATCTAAGCCTTTAGCTCATTCACAAGGTGCATTGACTTTGAACAATATTAATTTTGATAAGATGCGCTAGTCTTCTATCTGTAGGAGCTACACAGACATAGAAGCAGAAAACCAACAGCTTCCTCATACACAACTTAAGAATCATCTCTACACCACTAATGCCAATTTAAAACAACCATTATATGGCCACTGATCAACATTCATAAGGTCATGGCAATGGTTTTGAAATGCCAAATGAAACCAGAGCTCAACACGTAAGGAGTCACACCATGACCCTTAGGATTTCCATCTACATGTCCAAATGACAACTATTAACAGCTGCTTTCCTGTCAATTAATGATGGTACAGCTTGCATGAATGCAAATATAAAATACTTTTTAAAACAAAGCTCATTCTGAAATAGACAATCTATGCAGAAAAATCCTAAGTTCTATTTCAAACAATCAGCTGCACCCAAAGAAAGAACGATACTCTCTTAACTATTAATAACTGACTTTCAAAGTCTATGATGGTTTTTCACCAATACAGCTCAGTCGTGTTACCAAGAACACATGGCAAACTCTTACAACAAAGGCAATGACCTTTACCTCTATATTTTAGGAAAAAATAACAGCTATTATCTTGACATTATGCATTCATTGTATAATTCAGACCTGTTACAAAGGAAACAAACTCTCTCAGTATTCTTACTGGCTAAATTTTGAAAAGGGAAGAATACATTTATATAATCATTAAGGATAATAGAAATTGCAGCAGTAAAAAATAAAAGGATGTGATATTGAAATTCAACCTGCGGGTATAATTACTCAGATACTAAACTTAATCCCATTTCCTGAATTGTTACACCAGCTTTACACGTACCATTGCTTATATTATACCAGGCTGAAGTATGGCTTTTCCCTGTTCATCTTGGGGACATGTGGTAGATGAAAGAAAGTGGGCTTTGTAGCCCATGAGAACAAAGTTATCCAAAGGACAGCACTTACTAGTACTGTGATCTCAGAAACATAACCTATTCTCTTTTGAGCTTCAGATTGATTTTCAAAATGAAAATAATCATACTTACCTCACCTGGAGGTTATGATGTCTTGGCTAAAGATGTAATTCCAGTGCCAGCCAGGAACTTGGAGTATAGAGGTAGAGGGAAGATGCAAGCCTATACAAATAAATAAACAGAGTTATAACTTGGGCTAAGGGCAAACTGGGATTAGCACTGTGTGAGCAAATAATGGGGACAAGGGCATAGAGGAAAATAAACCATGTAGGTGGTGACTAGGTACAACAGACAGAAACTGTTATGGAATGGATTTGCCCCCAAAATCCATACATTGAAGACCTAACTACCCATGGGACTGTACTTGGATACCAGATCTTGAAAGGTAAAGAGGAGGTCGAATGAGCTCATTTGCAGGGAGGGACTCTAATCTGATAACTGGTGTCCTATAGGAAGAGAGTGGGCAAACTACACACACAGAAGGAAGACCACGTGAAGACAGTGGGAACGAGGTCATCCACCAGTCATGGAGAGAGGACACCCACCCTGGCCACACCTTGATCTAAAGTGTGAGAAAATAAATAAATCAATTTCTGTTGCTTAAGCCACCCAGACTGTGATACATTGTGATGGCGGACCCAGCAAAATAATATGAAATCCCAACATTTACTTGCTCAGCAAATGGTGTGTGAGCCTTTGGAGTTATGCACTGTTCGAGGGCCCTAGGGAACCAGCCCTAAACAAAGCTAGTTTGGTCTTTGGACCCCATGGAGCCAACAATCTGGCAGGGACTGCAGTAGGCGACATCCAGCAAGCAAGAAAGAAAAACAGATGGTGCCAAGGGCCAGGAAGAAAAAGAATGCAGGGAAGGGATATCAGGTGTTCAGGTCAGAGAAGGAGCAGTTTTCAGTTTTACATAGAGAGCTAGCAGAGACTCCACTAAGCAGGTCATGTGAGAGCAAGCTTATGACGGAAATGAGGGAGTATGTCATGCTGGCACGTGGAAGTATATCCCCGACAGAGAGAGGCAAAGTGAGTGCAAAGACCTGAAGCAGGAGTATGTGCCTGACAAGCTCAGGGAGCAGGGAGGGGCCAGTGTGGCAGCAGCCCAGTAAAAAAGGGGAGGGGAATAGGAGAGGCCTACAGGGAGGTAGCAGAGTCTGGGGAGGGCAGCACCTGTGTGGTGCACAGCTGGAGTCAGGTGTCTGGAGACATGAACAGCTGTGGGCAGCACATAAAGACTTAGAGGCCCCAGATGCTGGCATATAGAAGCCTGAGGCTGGCTGAGATCACCCCAGAGTAAGGGCAGATGGAAAGCAGATGGGGGACAGGAAGAGGATGAGGACCTACCAACACAGACACTGGTGAGCAGCGGCCCAGATGGTGGGAGGAGGAAGGAAGTAATTTTCAAAGAAAGGGAGTAATCAAGTGAGACTGTAAAATGGTGCCACGTAATCCACATACTGGAGTTTGAGACTTCACTGTGACCTTCAGCGATGTGTGTCACCCATTAAAGAGATGAGAACTAGGGACGAGTGGGAGAGGAAGCCCATTCAGACTCAGCTGACAGAGAAACAAGGGAAGTTCTGCAGGCACCGGCACGTGCAATGCTAGGCATAGGAAAACAAAGCAGGTGATGCTGGATGGGAAGTGATTGCTCCCCGTGGGCCGGGAGAAACAGCTGCAGGTGCACAGGAAACAATAATGCTAGTATGTGCAACACGAAATATTTGTACTTGTTTAAGCTCTATCAGAGCGGATAACCATGGATAGTTAACCATGAGATAAAAATAACCTAACTGTAAAGTCAATATCAAACCAATTGTTGACCCAACACAGATAGGCAATCAAGGAAAGATGAAACGAAGTAAAAGGAACTCAGTGAACACAAACCCCACCTGCTTACCAGTAAAATCACCTCTAGCCTTTCTAGTTTTAGAGGCCCCACCTGCCTAGGGACATTCATGAAATGGCCATGGTATCCTGACCGTGGAAAAGTAGCATAATCACTTGTTTCCTAAATAGTGACTCATTTGAATGGCCACACGAGGGTTTTACTGTCTCTTCCAATCGGTGAAATGGACCTTCCCGTGAAGAGGTGGGAATAGGGCAAGAAGACAAGTAGACTGATGGAGCTGCTTTAAAATGTTTTTAGCTTCACTCTTTTTTGAGAGAGAGAGAAAGACAGAACACACGTGGGGAAGGGGCAGAGAGTGAGACACAGTATTTGAAGCAGGCTCCACGTTCAGAGTCATCAGCACAGAGGTGAAGTGAGGGTTCGAAACCACAAACCGTGAGACTATGACCTGAAGTGGGACACTTAATCCACTGAGCAGCCGAGGCAGTGCAAAATACGTCTGGCCTAAAAGGAACATCAAGGCTACATCGCCGATGAAGGGGTGCAGAAGGGGCACATGCATGATCCCCTCCCGTGCCGAGGTGTGGGAGAGAACATGAGTGACACCCCTCCATCGCAGGGACAGTGGCGCAATGGTGACCCGCTTCCTTGATGTGGGAGAGAACATGTGTTAAACCCTTCCTGTCCAAAGGGGGGGAACGCTAATGCTTGAGAGCCTTTCATACCCAGGGTGGAGGAAGTATTACCTAAGCCTTACCCTGCCCCTTATGTCAGTGCCAACCCTAACATTTACCTTAAGAGATGTGTGTTTCTTCAGCTGTGAAAGTGAAAGAACAATTTGTGAAATATCACATTTAATAGTGACAACACTACTGTCTCCCTAAAAGGTGGCACTGTGCATGGGTGACCATCTCACACACCAACCAGGTGCAAGGCAGAATCCTGAACCACCTCTGGCGTCAAGTGGGGTGGGGCACATGTTTGAACGCCCTCCAGCGCTGAGGGGGGTTCTGTGCATGTGTGAACACCCTTCCCACCGAGGTGAGTGGGCCAAGCATGAACGCTCTCCCTTGCTGAGGGAGGGTTGTGTGCCTGTAAAAATGGTCTACCTCACAGAGCGGGGGTTGTGGGCATGCCTGAACCCCCTTCAGCAAGGAGGGGGGTGCTTTGTACATGCGTGAACACCATCCTGGTGAGGGGAGTGGGGACCATACGTCAACACCCTCCCTGGCCGCAGAGTTGCAGGGCACATGCACGAAAGCACCGCCCTTCATAGAGAGGGGCTTGTTCGTATGCGAGAACACCCTGCCATGACAAGGGGGTGTGGTGCATATGAGAACTTTCTCCCAGTGGAGAGGGCTGGGTGCATGCGTGAACACCATCCTACAATGAGAGGGTTTGTGCACATGTGTGAACACCCTTCTGTCCCTAGGGGTGGCAGTGCGTGTGCGTGAATAACCTCCTGCAATATGGGGGTGGGGGGCCTAGGTCAACACCCTGCTGTGCCAAAGTGGGGTCGGGCACATGGTTGAACACGCTCCCGTGCCAAAGGTGGACATGCTAATGTTTGGAAATCCATACCCAGGGGGAGGAAGCTTGATCAAACCCTTACTCTACCACCGATGGTAATGTTAACCCTAAACATAACCTTAAGAGATACGTGTTTCTTCAGCTGTGAAAGCGAAAAGAACCATTCATGAAACATCACATTCAATAGTGACATCAGTACTTCCTCCCAGAGGGGTGGTGCTGTGCATGGGTGACCGATTCACATGCTGACAGGGGGCCAGACGGAAGCCTGAAGCACCTCCTGTGCTAAGTGGGGCAGGGTGCATTTGCCAACGACCTCCCTGGCTGAGGTGGTGGTTCTGTACATGCCTGAACACCCTTCCTTGCCCAGGGGAGGGGAGCGCATGTGTAAATGCCTTCCCTCATTGAGGGGAGCTGTGTGCTTGCGTGAACATACACCAGTGGGGGGGGCTGTGCACATGCCTGTACAGCCTCCTGTAGTAGTGGGTAAGGAGCATGCATGAATGCCCTCCCTCGCTGATGGGGATTGTGCTCATGTGGAAATGCCCTACCTCTTGGAGCAGGAGTTTTGTGCATGTGTGAACACTCTTCCACCAGTAGGGAGAGCTGCACATGTGTGAACAGCACCCAGTGGTATGGGGCGGGGCCCACGTGCGAATGGCATCCCTCCCCTAGCTGGGGTTGTTCAGAAGTGTGAACATACTTCCGCCACAATGGGGGCTGTGCACATCTATGAACACCCTCCAGCACTGAGGGGGTGAGGTGCATAGGTCAACACCCTCCCATGCCAAAGTGGGTATGGGGCACATGCCTGAACCATTCCCTTGTTGAGGGATGCATGGCGTAAGTGTGAATGCCCTCCTTCATGGAGGGGTTGTTGTGTGCATGCATGAATACCATCCCTCACTGACTGGTGGCTGTGTGCATGCATGAACACCCTCCCGGGCAGAGGGGGGCCGGGCAGATGTGTGAATATTCTCCCATGCTGACATGTCAAGTCACATAGGTCAACACCTTCCCATGTCAAAGTGGGGGGATGGTGCACATGGGTGAACGCCCTTCCACCAGGAGGGGGGCCTTACACACACGAGAACAAACTCCCACACTAATGGGTCAGGGTGCATGCACAAATGCCCTACGTCGCCAAGGAGGGTTGTGCATGAGAACACCCTTCTACACGGATGGAGGTCTGTGTGCATCGGTGCCAAGGGGGGCAGGGAGTATTAGTGAAACACCTCTCATGCAGAGAGGGGGAGCAAGCATGACCTAACCTTTACCCTAAAGCCTAAATGTAATGCTAACCCTAACCTTTACCTTAAGTGATGCAAGCTTCTTCAGCTGTGAAAGTGAAAAGAATCATTGATGAAAGGTCACATTTAATAGTGGCAACAGTACTCCCTCTCCAAGGGGTGGCACTGTTCATGGGTGACACCGTCCCTCGCCGAGGGGTGAGGAGCATGTGTGAACCACCTCCCATGCGGAGGGAGACATTGCACATGTGTCAACACCCTCCCTCATCTTGGGACGGGTGGTGCAAATGTGAGAATGCGTGAATGCACTTCCAAGCTGACGAGGGTGGGGCGCATGTGTGAACACTCTCCCATGCTGAAGGGGGCGGGACACATGCATGAATATTCTCCCACACTGAGGGGCGGTGCTATTGCGTGAATACACTCTAGAGATGAGGGGGTGGGTGTGGAAGCATGACCTAACCCTTACCCTAACCGTTAATGGTAATGCTAACCCGAACCCTTACCTTAAGAGTTGTCTGCTACTTCAGCTGTGAAATTGAAAAGAACCATTCATGAAACGTCACATTTAATAGTGGCGTCACTATTCCCTCATTGAAGGGTGGCTCTCTGCATGGGTGACGTCTTCCCACACCAAGCTGGGGCTGTGCACATGCGTAAAACCCTCCCTTCTGAGGTGAGCAAGACACATGCATGAACCATCTCCCATGCAGAGGTGAGGTATGCCCATGAGTGAACACCCTCCCGACCTGACAGGTGGTCATGCACATGTGTGAACAATCTGTCCTGAAGGGGGGGATCTACACATGTGTGAAAGCCCTCCCCAGCGGAAGTGGAGTGGAGCACGTGCTTCAATATTTTACCACTCTCAGGGGTTGGGGTGAAAGGGTGAACACTCTCCCTTGCTCAGGATAGTAGGGTGATGCGTGAAGTCTTCCCATGCTGAAGGGGGAAAGCAAGCATGACCTAGCCCTTATCTTAACCCCTAACTGTAATGCTAACCCTACCCCTGACCTTAAGAGATGCATGCTTCTTCAGCTGTGAGAGTGAAAACAGCCGTCCATGAAATGTCAGATTTAATAGTGGCATCACTACTCCCTTGCTGACTAGTGGTGCTGTGCACAGGTGACCCCCTCCAGCGCCCGAGGGGGGGAAGGCACATGCATGAACCCCCTCTCATGCTGGGGGGGGCAGGTTCATGCACATACCTGAACACCTTCCCAAGTCAAGGGGGCACTGTGCTCATGCGTGAACACCTCCTGAGCCAAGGAGGGCATGGCGCATGGACAAATGCCCTCCCTCGCCAAGGGTTGTGGTGTCCATGAGTGAACACCTACGCACATGAGATGGGTGCAGGTGCATACATCAACATCCCCCCCGCTGAAGGGGGCTGGTTCCTATTGGTGAACACCTTCCGAGATGAGGGGGGGGGGCGTGGCGCATGTGTGAACGCCCTCCCACTCCAAGGGAGGGTGCAGGAATGGCCTATCCCTTACCCTAACCATGAACGGCAATCCTAACCAAAACCCTTACCTTAAGAAATGCCTGCTTCTAGGGATGTGTCGAGTAAGAGATTGCTACGGCTGAGGTCAGAGAGGTCTTTTCCTGCTTTCTCCTCTAGGGTTTTGATGGTTTCCTGTCTCACATTCAGGTCCTTTATCCATTTTGAGTTTATTTTTGTGAATGGTGTGAGAAAGTGGTCTAGTTTCAACCTTCTGCATGTTGCTGTCCAGTTCTCCCAGCACCATTTGTTAAAGAGACTGTCTTTTTTCCATTGGATGTTCTTTCCTGCTTTGTCAAAGATGAGTTGGCCATACGTTTGTGGGTCTAGTTCTGGGGTTTCTATTCTATTCCATTGGTCTATGTGTCTGTTTTTGTGCCAATACCATGCTGTCTTGATGATGACAGCTTTGTAGTAGAGGCTAAAGTCTGGGATTGTGATGCCTCCTGCTTTGGTCTTCTTCTTCAAAATTACTTTGGCTATTCGGGGCCTTTTGTGGTTCCATATGAATTTTAGGATTGCTTGTTCTAGTTTCGAGAAGAATGCTGGTGCAATTTTGATTGGGATTGCATTGAATGTGTAGATAGCTTTGGGTAGTATTGACATTTTGACAATATTTATTCTTCCAATCCACGAGCAGGGAATGTCTTTCCATTTCTTTAAATCTTCTTCAATTCCCTTCATAAGCTTTCTATAGTTTTCAGCATACAGATCCTTTACATCTTTGGTTAGATTTATTCCTAGGTATTTTATGCTTCTTGGTGCAATTGTGAATGGGATCAGTTTCCTTATTTGTCTTTCTGTTACTTCATTGTTAGTGTATAAGAATGCAACTGATTTCTGTACATTGATTTTGTATCCTGCAACTTTGCTGAATTCATGTATCAGTTCTAGCAGACTTTTGGTGGAGTCT